GTTCCTCATGGCTGGGGATCAGCAGGAGATGGTTCCTCATGGCTGGGGATCAGCAGGAGATGGTTCCCATGGCTGGGGATTGGCAGGAGATGTTCCTCATGGCTGGGGATTGGCAGGAGATGGTTCCTCATGGATGGGGATCAGCAGGAGATGGTTCCCAGAGGCTGAGGATCAGCAGGAGATGTTCGCCATGGCTGAGGATCAGCAGGAGAACATGATGTGGTAGAGCAAGGCTGATGAAGCACAAGCTGGTGTTGGGGGTGGCCCGTCGGCCTCCGGAGTCACCGCAGACGTTGCTCTGTGCTGAGCTGGTTCTTCTTGTCTCTCCAGGTGCAGATCCAGAACAAGAAAGTTGACCTTTCCAAAGTGTCCTCCAAGTGTGGCTCTAAAGCAAATATCAAGCATAAGCCAGGTAGGAGTTTTACCGTTTCCTCAGGGTTTGTTGGTAGATTTTGCACATCCCTTAAACCCGGTCCTGGATCGGGACTGAAGCTGTTTAAGGGGTTTGCTGCTTTCAGGGGGTGTCTCCAGAAGCTCTGGAAATGCTCCTTTAGCAATTCCAGGTGGTTTCATGAGCAGAGAAGGGGAGTATGAGATGTGGGATGTCCTCAAAGCATCTACTGCTTTGACTCAGCTCTGCTTTTTCCTGCTCATTTGAAAAGGAAACTCTGGATATTCCCATGACCATTCCAGGAAGCTTCATCCCAGAGGGCTTTGGAACTCTGGGAATATCCACGTGCTGTGGAAGGATAAAGGTGTCTCCAGTTCTTCAAAGCTCATATGAGGGTCCTTTTAGCCTCACATTCATGGCAGCTCCTGCCTTACATAAAACACTTTAATGACACTTTTATGGGATGAGCATGTGGGAATTCCTTGCTCCCCACTGAGAACGGTGCAGTTACTCCATGTGAATTCCTGGGAATCTCGGGTTTCTACCCAAGCAGTGCCCAGCCCAGGGCTCAGCTGGAGCGTGGGCAGGTCTCACATCCAAGGTCCTGTGGCTGTAGGCCCCTTGTTTGGCCTGTGGGATGGTCAGATCCGTGACCTTTCCTGGTCCGTCCGTGTCTGAGGACACTCCCCCACATGGGAACGCTGCCAGCCGTCAAACCCCACACCCCAGGGACAAAGTTCACTGCCCAGAGCCAAGAACAAGCACCACAGGCCCGTCTTTGTCCGCTCCTGGGAGTTCCCTGCACCCTCTGCCAGGTTGAACCTCATCCACCCCACGCTCCGGTGCCTCCGAACGTGCTCCCGCGTTGGGAACGTGGTGCCACCAGCGTGACCTCTCCTGCTCAGTGCTCGGAAATAACGAGCCCAGAGCGACAATAACTGCCCTTGTCCAGGGCTGATTGGAGCACAACAACCCCTCCATTGGCTGGCAGGGCTCAGAACAGGTTTTCTTGGGCCAGATCTGCTGGTTTCCACCGTTGGCCATGCCAGGCTTCCAGAGGGCTGGGAGCTTCCAGAGGGCTGAGGGTTTAATGATGTCTCTGGGAAGCAAAGTTCCATTCAGCAATACTTGAATTGGGTTTGGGAGGAAGCTGCTGGAACAGGGATTGAATCCAGTGAAAGGTGTCCCTGTCCACGGCTGGGGTTTGGAATGATCCTTAAGGTCCCTTCCAACCCAGGCCATTCCATGATTCCATTCCACGGTTCCATGTACAGTCTGAGTTATTAATAAAGCAGGCACCAAAACGTTCAGAGGGATGGGGCTGCTGGGACAGGCTGAGAGGGTTGGGATTGTTCAGCCTGGAGGGGAGAAAGAAAGCTCCAGGATGACCAAACAGTGGCCTTTCAGTGCCTGAAGGAGCTGACAGGAAAGATGGAGGGACTTTGGATAAGGGCCTGGAGTGACAGGACAAGGTGGAATGGCTTCAAACTGGCAAAGGATAAATTTAGGTTGGATATTGGGAAGGAATTCCTGGCTGGGAGGGTGGTGAGGCCCTGGCACAGGTTGCCCAGAGAAGCTGTGGCTGCCCTTGGATCCTTGGAAGTGTCCAAGTCCAGGTTGGAGCAACTTGGGCTCATTCCCCACCGGAGGGACCCCAGGGCTTTGCTGGCACAGGTGGGAACCACCAACTTTGGTCCTGCCAGTTCTAAACCAGACTTAACTGGGGAGAGACCAAGCCAGTGAAGGGGTTCCTTGGTCCTGTCCCTCCTCCAAAGGGTCCCCAGCAGCTCCCTGAGGGGGGCTGGGGAGGGGTGGGACCTTCGTGGGACCTTTCCTGAACTCACCCCTGCACATGTCCCTGCAGGGGGAGGAGATGTCAAAATTGAGAACCAGAAGCTGAACTTCAAAGAGAAGGCCCAAGCCAAGGTGGGATCTCTGGACAACGTGGGACACTCACCGGCAGGAGGGGCCGTGAAGGTGGGTGCAGGGAGCTCTGGCACCCCAGGGTGGGGCTCCAGTGGGCTGCTCCTCCTCCTCCTGCTCTTGATGGAGAGCAGCTCCTCCACCCCCGGCCTGTTCCAGCCACCTGCTTGTTCCTGGGGCCTCTGTTGTGCCCCCAGGGGTAAGGAGGGACCCCAGGAGTACAGATGGGTTGGGAAGGAGAGCACTGGGAACCACCTTGGCCTGCTGGACCAGTCCCCCTGGCAGGAATTCCTGAGGGCTGGTGCTGCCCATCCCCATCCTTCCTGTTGGGATCTGAGAGCAGGGATCACTGAGCCCCTCAGAGGGGCTGCCTGTGGCCTTCACCCCCAGTTAAAGCTGGTGAGATCCAAGTGCTCTGTGCTGGGAGAGAGCATCTTGTGGGTCTTGGGAGCCCTTGGAGGACCATGGAATATCCTGAGCTGGAAGGGACCCCCCGGGAGTGTGGAATCCAACTCCTGCAGCCCTTTGGTGTGAGGGTGGGAACAGGTGGTTGTGCTCTCGTGGCTGTGATTCCTCCCTTCTCCCATGGGAACACAAACTGTCCCCAGCCTTGGCTCTGCACGTTCCAGGTGTGGCTGCAGGAATGTGATGTCTGTGCTCAGGGAGGGGACACTGACCCATCACGGCACAGCATGACGAGGAATTGTGTTCAGGGAGACTCTGGGGCTGTTATTGTGCAGTCCCAGAATGGTTTGGGCTGGAGGGCACCTTAAGGATCATCCCATTCCAACCTCGACACCTTCCACTAGCCCAGGTTGCTCCAAGCCCCATCCAGCCTGGCCTTGGGCACTTCCAGGGATCCAGGGGCAGCCACAGCTTCTCTGGGCAACCCGTGCCAGGGCCTCCCCAACCCTCACAGCCAAGAACTCCTTCCCAATATCCCATCTATCCCTGCCCTCTGGCAGCGGGAAGCCATTCCCTGTGTCCTGTCACTCCAGGCTCTTGCAGCCCTGCACCTCTCACAGCCCTGCACCTCTCACATCCCTATAACTCCTGCACCCCACACTCCTGCACCTCTCACATCCCCCTGCACCCCACACATCCCTACACCTCTCACA